GTGGTCTCTAAATTCCAGCCTCTTTAGGGCCTTCCGATTGGAGGAGTGGTCAACGGTGCTGGTTGACCCCATTGGCTGAATTAAGCCCACCTGTCCTAGATTGGGCCAATCCAGGTGTACCCCCCCTTCCTGGCTCAGAGCCTGAATTAGCCCATGCCCTTTAGCCTTTATTGGCTTTCAACTTCCTGTAGGGGGCTCTCTAGGCATGGCGAGGACCAACCCCCTATCCAGCTACCTAACACTTCCACCACCACTGGATCCACAAGACTTTCCACCCACTGGCCTGAGATCATCCTGCATTCAGCATCATGGCATGTGCTGTGTGCGTCTGAGAGGAATTTATGGACTAGTATCGGATTATATGGACTAATATTGGATTTATGGACTGGATCTGGACCAGGCTGGGATGTTTTCTCAATATGCAATTAATTGCTCTTTGATATAAAGCTCTCTCTTACACACATGAGTGTCTGTGGATTTGCTTCTCTAGTGAACCCGGACTAACACAGTCGTTCAATGTAGATTTTACAAAACCACCTTGTTTTTAGGAGTCCTGATCACATAGTGGCTATGAGTTGTGCTGCTAACCCAGTCAGCAGTTCAAAACCATCAGCTGCTCTTTGGGAGAAAGATGAGGTTTTCTACTCCCTTGAAGAGTGAGTCTCAGAAACCCACAGAGGCAGTTCTACCCTGTCCTGTCGGATAGCTGTGAGTCTGCATCCACTCGATGGCAGTGAACTGAGCTAAGACCCTTGTTAGCATTCATATAATCTGAAAAATATTACATTGAAGCAATTTGCAACTTTATCACCTATTGTTCCACGATTAAGGTGAATCATAATCATCACTAAGGAGCCCTGATGGTGTGATGGGTTAAGCACTGGCTGCTAACCCCAAGATCATCCGTTCAAGCCCATCAGTCTCCCCAGGGGAGAAAAAGGAGGGTCCTGGTGCTGTCAAGTTTTGAAGTCTCTGAACACCAAGGAGCATTTCTCCTCTGTCTATAGGGGTCGCTGTGAGTCCGAATCAATTGGATGGCAGTGAGTCAGAGGGTTCTGTGTGGTCTGGTATAGGGGGAGGCTCATTACTGCACTGGGTGACACCACTGAGGAAAGGCCAATTATACGTAAGCAGAAGGACTTTAAGGTGATAGTGGCCAATCTTGGTATCATGGGCATTGCATGTTTGAACAACCAGAAGTGGTGGGTCTGGGGTAATCCCATTTTATGGAAGGGGAAACTGAGGCCCAGAGCAGTGAAGTGTCCTGCCTGGTCACACAGTAAGAACGTGGGGCACTGGGACTTGAGCCCTGGCATCCAGTGCAAACTTACCAGGCACTACAAGTCGCAAAAAAAGATGCTGACGCAGAATGAGATTTCATTTCGCATTTATATTCATTTTAAGGTTTGGAGCCATTAATTGCTCCCTTCCCCCAAGTCTTAATTATTTCCAAAGACGCTGGAAAAATCTTCCAGTTTCTCCACCCAGGGAGTGTCTCAATACAGAGCCCCTCCCACCCCAATCTCCGGGGGAACCCTCAAAGAACCTCATCCTAGAACCCCCTCCCCTCCACGCTCCCCCTCCTGGCAGGGAGCTCAAAATGGACACACCCCTTCCCCTTCCACCGGCTGTTTCCGGGGTCCAGCTATCAACTTCAGCCAAGATCTTGTGTCCTCCCTTCCCCTCTCCCCCCACCCCCTATCACAGTCACCAGCCCGCAGTTCCGCAGTTCCGAGGTTTAGAACAGACCTAGTATCCCCCCTCCCGCCCCCACCCCAGGGGGTTCTCATTTCGGATTCGCCCCCTTCCGCCCTGCTGGGGTAGGGGCTGGCTTTCACCATCGCTCCCCGCTCCTGGAACTGGAAACTGCTCAGTGGGGACCACGTTAGAGCCCCCCCGGCCACGCCCACCCGAGGGCCCGGGTCTCAGAACAGCGCCCCGGGCTCCTCCTCCCCTTCGGCCCCGCCCCCGGCCCCGCCCCTCGGCGCCGCGTCCACGCGGTACTTGCGGCGGCGGAGCGGGTCGGTGAGGCTGCGCGGCGCGGGGTCGTCGAAGTCCTCGGCTGGCAGGAAGTTGCGGTCCAGCAGCCCCGCCGCCTCCTGCCAGTTGGCGAAGCAGGCAGGGCCCAGGCGGCGAATCTCGTCGGCCGCGTCCCGCGTGAGCACGTCCCCGCCCGGCTGGAGCACCACGACCGCTGGGAGACGGTCCACGGAGAACCGGCGCCCCAGGTCCCTGCGGGGGCGCAAGGTCAGGACGCGGGCCCCGGGCAGCGCCCACGTCTCACCTCCTCCAAGCACGCCTGGAGCGCCTTGGGTGTGCCAGCCCTGGGGACAGGCCAGAGCCGGACACACTGGTCCCCCGATTGTTCCCGAACACCCCAGGCTCACAGTTCGTCCCGGGCTGGCGCGCGCTCAGACTTTTCCTGAAAGGCGCCCTCGAGGCAACTGCAAGGTTAGGTCAGAGAGCAACCTCCGATCAAAAACCCGCCGATTGCACGGGCGTTTTCTCATCTCCTGTTGCTGTTTCTCCCCAGACACACATTTCTGCCCCCTTTCATGAGGGTCGCTGCTCCTGGAACAGGGGGGCCACAGAGTTTTAAAATAACACCAACACCACAATGTCACTGAGCCAAAGTGACCTTTAGGACAGAGTAGGACTGCCCCTAACAGTTTCTCAAGACTGCAAAGCTTTACAGGCGCTTAGGGCCTCTTCTTCCTCTGAGGAGGCCGGAGAGGGCACCCCCCACCCCCATCCCTCACCCCAACCCAGGCCCTGTCTAGGGTCTCTGAGCTGGCATAACTTGAAGGCCGACAGGTTGATTCGGTTGTCCTTGAGAAGGTGGCCCTGTCTGGAAGGAGGGGTTTTGTTCATGTGAATGAGGCCGAGTTACTGCAGGGTGTGTCTGAGGTATAGAAAGATCAGATTCCCAAGAGGCAAGCGAATTTTGGGAATAATGAGGGCAACAAATGTATAGATGTGCTTTACACAATTGATCTATGTATTGTGATGAATTGTATGAGCCCCAATAAATTGAT